AAGGACAAAAGGCCATGATCCGCGCCATCCGCCTCCCAAGCCACCACCAAGAAGCCTCGGATTCCAGCCTTTCTTGAATCATGTTGTAGTATCATGAAGTATACTAACTAGTTTCTCAGTAACCATGATCCAAGTTAGTTTGCGCTTCATCTCCACCAGCTCCACCACCGGTTGCCCCAAGTCATGGAGATAGCTATTTTGGCCACCGAAAGCATAAAATAGATTAAGGATTGTGTATGGTGAGGTATTCCCTCAACTTGTTGATTTAGTGAAGCAATTTAGGGGTCCTTCTTTACAATCGTTATGGTCACCGAATGTATGAATGTGTGGAATCTAGAAGCGTCTGTCTTTACCACAAGACCACCATGTGTGGAGCATAGAGCCAACCTGACCACAACCCCTGAAGCCAATGGCGGAGGAGTCTGGATACACCTTATATACTGTAAGTGTTCGGACACCAGATACCAAACTGAGCTCATCTTATAACCTCCTTCCACTAAGTAAACTTTCATGATGCCCTTGTAAATCCGTACAGACCAATCCCTCCAGTGCTCATCAGGAATGTCCATGTCCAGCTCTTTTTCCCAGGCCTCCATATAGGGTAATTTACCCAGTGTGTTAACAAACAGTTTGTACAAGTCCGAGACACCACCCCTCATAATGCTCACCACGGAAACATCTATTTTCAAACGCGACGTGACATCAGAAGTACAGTATCTCACAGAAGTGAGTCCACCCCACACATTTGTGTAAATATTTGATTCTATCTTTTCATGTGACAACACTGAAGAAATGACACTTTGCTACAATGTGACGTAGTCAGTGTACAGCTTGTATAACATGGAAATTTGCTGTCCCCTCAAAATAACTCAACACACCGCCATTAATCCCCTCCCTTCCGAGACTGGGCTGCAGGGCAGTATTCCAACATAATGACCCCAAACACACCTCCAAGACCACCACTGCCTTACTAAAGAATCTGAGGGTAAAGGTGATGGACTGGCCAAGCATGTCTCCAGACCTAAACCCTATTGAGCATCTGTGGGGCGTCCTCAAACAGAAGGTGGAGGAGCGCAAGGTCTCTAACTAACATCCACCAGCTCCGTGATGTCGTCATGGAGGAGTGGCAGAGGACTCCAGTGGCAACGTGTGAAGCTCTGGTGAACTCCATGTCCAAGAGGGTGAAGGCAGTGCTGGAAAATAATGGCAGCAACACAAAATATTGACACTTTGGACCCAATCTGGGCATTTTCACTTAGGGGTGGACTCACTTTTGTTGCCAGCGGTTTAGACATTAATGGCGGTGTGTTTGAGTTATTTTGAGGGGACAGCAAATTTACATGTTATACAAACTGTACACTGACTACGTCACATTGTAGCAAAGTACATTTCCTTCCATGTTGTCACATGAAAAGAGAGAATCAAATATTTACAGAAAAGTGAGGGGGGGACTCACTTCTGGGAGATACTGTATATATATACAGTCAGGTCCATAAATATTGGGACATGGACACAATTCTAACATTTTTGGCTCTATACACCACCACAATGGATTTAAAATGAAACGAACAAGATGTGCTTTAACTGCAGACTGTCAGCTTTAATTTGAGGGTATCTACATCCAAATCAGGTGAACGGTGTAGGAATTACAACAGTTTGCATATGTGCCCCCCACTTGTTAAGGGACCAAAAGTAATGGGACAGAATAATAATCATAAATCAAACTTTCACTTTTTAATACTTGGTTGCAAATCCTTTGCAGTCAATGACAGCCTGAAGTGTGGAACGCATAGACATCACCAGACGCTGGGTGTCATCCCTGGTGATGCTCTGCCAGGCCTCTACTGCAACTGTCTTCAGTTCCTGCTTGTTCTTGGGGCATTTTCCCTTTTGTTTTGTCTTCAGCAAGTGAAATGCTCAATCGGATTCAGGTCAGGTGATGGATTGGCCATTGCAGAACATTCCACTTCTTTGGTGTCTTTTGCAGTCTGCTTTGGGTCATTGTCCATCTGCACTGTGAAGCGTCCAATGAGTTGTGAAGCATTTGGCTGAATATGAGCCGATAATATTCCCGAAACACTTCACAATTCATCCGGCTGCTTCTGTCAGCAGTCACATCATCAATAAATACAAGAGAAGCAGTTCCATTGGCAGCCATACATGCCCACGCCATGACACTACCACCACCATGATCACTGATGAGGTGGTATGCTTAGGATCATGAGCAGTTCCTTCTCCATCCTCTTCTCTTCCCATCACTCTGGTACAAGTTGATGTCGGTCTCATCTGTCCATAGGATGTTGTTCCAGAACTGTGAAGGCTTTTTTACATGTCGTTTGGCAAACTCTAATCTGGCCTTCCTGTTTTTGAGGCTCATCAATGGTTTCCATCTTGTGGTGAACCCTCTGTATTCACTCTGGTGAAGTCTTCTCTTGATTGGTGACTTTGACACACATACACCTACCTCCTGGAGAGTGTTCTTGATCTGGCCAACTTTTGTGAAGGGTGTTTTCTTCACCAGGGAAAGAATTCTTCGGTCATCCACCACAGTTATTTTCCGTGGTCTTCCGGGTCTTTTGGTGTTGCTGAGCTCATCGGTGCATTCCTTCGTTTTAAGAATGTTCCAAACAGTTGTTTTGGCCACGCCTAATGTTTTTGCTATCTCTCTGATGGGTTTTTTTTTGTTTTTTCAGCCTAATGATGGCTTCACTGATAGTGACAGCTCTTTGGATCTCATCTTGAGAGTTGACAGCAACAGATTCCAAATGCAAATAGCACACTTGAAATGAACTCTGGACCTTTTATCTGCTCATTGTAATTGGGATAATGAGGGAATAACACACACCTGGCCATGGAACAGCTGAGAAGCCAATTGTCCCATTACTTTTGGTCCCTTAACAAGTGGGAGGCACATATGCAAACTGTTGTAATTCCTACACCGTTCACCTGATTTGGATGTAAATACCCTCAAATTAAAGCTGACAGTCTGCAGTTAAAGCACATCTTGCTCGTTTCATTTCAAATCCATTGTGGTGGTGTATAGAGCCAAAAATGTTAGAATTGTGTACATGTCCCAATATTTATGGACCTGACTGTGTATATATATATATATATATATATATATATATATATATGTACATACATTGTATACAGTCTGGGGGAGGGGTGGACTCACTTCTGGGAGATACTAAATGCCTATTCACAGTAAAAAGGAAATGTAATATTTGTCGCAAGTGGTAGAGGTCAGCATCAAGTTGTTGGGTAAAATAGGAAGCGGGATATGTGATGGACCACCTGGCACCACGCCTGGGTGCTTCCACTAGAGAACTGCTTCCTCGCCACTGGGACAGGGGACCAAGGTATTATAGCTGGGCATTGCACCCAAGGACTAGACAACAATAGCTTAGGTGCAACTGGAACCCAACTGTGTTGAAAATTCACACAGAATTTATACCACACAAAATCAGATAAGAGCTCAATCACATGATCCTAAACAATGCAACCTGTAAACAGTAATATCATCAGTACATCTAACAAACAGCTAACATTAACAAGTGATCTAATCAAACAGTAAGCTAATCAAAAGCCAGGCACCCAGACCAGCCAGGGGCCCACCCCAGACAGCCCGGCAACAATCTCACACCCCCGGATATACAAAGTACGTTACGCCTGCTGTCTTTCAGGTCTTTGCCTTTCACTTTGTATAATCTGTCCACTAGAAAAATCATCATAAGACAAAACTCATACAATACTCCAACAGTCTGAAAATGTGGAATTAATTTATATTCATAGATTTCTCGAGGGAGCTTGGTGATAAATATTTCTGTCCCAAGTGGAGGAGCGTCTCCAGCCCAGGCTGCAGAAGGGCCCCATATTTCCTCTGACCCTTAACCTGGACCAGATCAATATTACACCTTTCCATCCACTGCAGAAGGGAAGCTTTATTGTCTTTATTCAGAGAATTAATCCAAACCTCGCTGTCAGCGTTCATCACGTTATTATCCATCATCACAGACTGACCCGCTCTCTCCATGTGATCAGAAGCTGAACTGAGTTCTCTTCCATACTCTGACCGGGAGAAGCAGACAAAATCCCCGGTCCCTCCATGGGCTATGATCAGTGGGTAGAAGGCTAGCCCCTAGTTTCCTCCAAAAGCCCCTGTCCTGGTTGGGTCTGTCACAGGGAGGGTCATATTTGCCGCGAGGCAAACAAGGCATTTGCCTAGAGTGACACTTTTCACCAATGATGAGGCACTATTCCTCCCACTGACACCAATGATGAGGCACTATTCCTCCCAGACTGACACCAATGATGGGGCAGTATTCCTCCCATTGATACCAATGATGGGACACTATTCCTCTCACTGACACCAATGATGAGGGCGCTATTCCTCCCAGACTGACACCAATGATGGGGCAGTATTCCTCCCACTGACACCAATGTGGGGCACTATTCCTCCCAGACTGACACCAATGATGGCGCAGTACTCCTCCCACTGACACTAATGATGGGGCAGTATTCCTCCCACTGACACTAATGATGGGGCACTATTCCTCCCACTGACACCAATGATGAGGCACTATTCCTCCCAGACTGACACCAATGATGGGGCACTATTCCTCCCACTGACACCAATGATGGGCACTATTCCTCCCACTGACACCAATGATGGCGCACTATTCCTCCCACTGACACCAATGATGGAGCACTATTCCTCCCACTGACACCAATGATGGGCACTCTTCCTCCCACACTGACACCAACGATGGGGCACTATTCCTCCCATTGACACCAATGATGGGGCACTATTCCTCCCACACTGAGACCAATGATGGGGCACTATTCCTCCAACTGACACCAAATGATGGGGCACTATTCCTCCAACTCACACCAGTGATGGGGCACTATTCCTCCCACTGACACCAATGATGGGGCACTCTTCCTCCCACTGACACCAATGATGGGGCACTCTTCCTCACACTGACACCAATGATTGGGCACTCTTCCTCACACTGACACCAACAATGGGGCACTCTTCCTCCCACTGACACCAATGATGGAGCACTCTTCCTCACATTGATACCAATGATGGGGCACTCTTCCTCCCATTGATACCAATGATGGGGCACTCTTCCTCCCACTGGCACCAACGATGGGGCACTGTTCCTCCCACTGACACCAATGAATGAGCACTATTCCTCCCACTGACACCAATGATGGGGCACTCTTCCTCCCACACTGACACCAATGATGGGGCACTCTTCCTCCCATTGATACCAATGATGGGGCACTCTTCCTCCCACACTGACACCAATGATGGGGCACTCTTCCTCCCATTGATACCAATGATGGGGCACTCTTCCTCCCACTGACACCAATGATGGGGCACTCTTCCTCCCACTGACACCAACGATGGGGCACTATTCCTCCCACTGACACCAATGATGGGGCACTCTTCCTCCCACTGACACCAATGATGGGGCACTATTCCTCCCACTGACACCAATGATGGGGCACTATTCCTCTCACACTGACACCAATGATGGGGCACTTGGTCTGTTTTCTGGTGCGCAGCATACCGCTTTTTGTTGTCGTCCACCTTTGTGTGACCCTCCCGGATACCGTCACCCACCAGCACTGTAAGGCACCAGATGACCCCCGATCAGCGCTTGGAGCGACATCACAAAAGGTGAAGCTCCTCTGAAAAGCGATCCTGTCGCCACACCCTGTCACGGATGAACCGAAAGGTCCAATTTCAATGTTTGTCCGCCATGAGTCGGGTCGCCCTTCCAGTCTCCCCACAATACATCGGGAGATGATGTGGGCGGTGTGGTCAGCCGCTAGCACCTCGCCAGATATTAAACATATGCTTTGTTAATAAGTAATACGGAAAGTGAAGGCAGATGGCGAGGAGCTCGGGAAGTTAACGGCTTCCCGCGTCTGGCGGAGGAGATTTATGTCCGGGCCGCTGTTGCATTAGTGATGCTGGAAGCCACAACATAATCAATCAATAAAGAAGGTGATGTCCATTACCCGTATGAATGATTAAAGTTGTGGGAGTAACAGCGAGTCTCCGGCGGACGCCTCTTCCGGAGAGTACTCTTGGCGCGGCGCTCCAAACTTTCTTCACCGACTTCCAGGAGAGGCCGGGAGATGGATAGATAATGTGGATAGATAGATGTGCTGGGCACAAGGCTCCTTCCATTGGCTCCCATTATAATCGACTCCCCGACATCGAACAGATAGGATAATGTAAAGAAATAATTGGGAGCATTCCACCAAGCCTGAGGACACGGATGGGGGAGGTGGACCTGTTCCAATATACAGCCACAAGATCATTAACCTCCCTAGCGGTCTGATGATGTCCATATTTCTGTGCTCAAAGCGGTACATTTTTTTTTTGCATGGAAATATGTCGTTTTTTTATTGTAGGCCTGTAATTTTTAGGAATAACTCACTGAAATCTGTCCGGACAAGAGTCTAGTAAACATCCCGGGGATGATAAAATTTGAAACACGAAATCATAAATTATAATTTAATAAATAATCATAAAAAATAAAAATATAATAATAATAAATTTAATTCAATAATATAATCAAACCAAAAACACTGAAATGTGAAATATAGCGCCAAGTTCGCACATCGCTGAGCTCAGTCGCAGAATCGTTTTCAGTGTCTGATGAGGAATTTCCCCCACCAATCATTATCACTCAATTCTGCAAGTGGTTCTGATTTACTATCGCTGTTCTCTAGCCGGTCTAAAACCGCGTCTGACCTAAAGGGACGCTTTTTGGACGCCATGGACGTTTCTCAGTTTCCAGGCAGAAAGAACAGTAAAAATGCAGGCAGGGGGCGCCGGACAAAGCACTCGGGACAAAATGTATGTGAAATGGTTTGATACAGGAATGTTATACTATGTGATTTTAGTGATTTTAGTGAATGTCACTTTTTGTCATTTTCAAATTTCCCGCCAGTTCCGGCCCCCCCGTACGTCCCCGACGTCGCAGGGAACGGAACCCAGAAGACAGATGCCGGCATCGGCTGGAGGACATTGCTGGGGACACTGCAGGAGGGACATCGCGGGAGCGCAGGACAAGGTAAGTGCAGGAGAGATCCCGGAGCAACGCTGCAGTGTATTCCCGAGTGTAGCTCGGGGGGGGGTCACCGCTTGTGGTGCTGAAACTTTACCCCGAGCTACACTCGGGAATACCGCCAGGGGGGTTATTCTGAACAGTTCCACCTTCTATCTTCAAAAAGCCGTCCTGGAGCTCCAGTCCAGTGACTTTGCCTAGGCTGAGGTGATGTCATCGGTCTGCTGCAGGCTGCGACTGGGGCCGATCTGTGTCAGGTGTTTGTGAACACCACCCAGAACTTCATGGGCACCAAGATTGACATTGTGGGGTCACCTCTGAGCCGACATCTCAGTATAGAAAGTAGGTGGTGACCCCAGATCAGGGGGTCTCCAAACTAAGTCCCTTACAAGATTTCAACCGGCTCCCAACTAGGGTCAGTGGCCTCTGATGGCTACCTTGATGTAGGGGTAGTTCTAATGGGGACCCTGATGTAAAGGGGGCTTTGATGGGGACACTGATGTAAGAAAGGACTCTGATGGGGACCATGATGTAAAGGGGGGGTTCTAATGGGGACCCTGATGTAAAGGGGGCTTTGATGGGGACATTGATGTAAAGGGGGCTTTGATGGGGACACTGATGTAGGGGGGGTTCTAATGGGGACCCTGATGTAAGGGGGGCTTTAATGGGGACACTGATGTAAAGGGGGCTTTGATGGGGACACTGAAGTAAGAAAGGACTCTGATGGGGACCATGATGTAAGGATGGGTTCTAATGGGGACCCTGATGTAAGGGGGGCTTTAATGGGGACACTGATGTAAGAAAGGACTATGATGGGGACCATGATGTAAGGGGGGGGGGTTCTAATGGGGTCCCTGATGTATGGGGGGCTTTGATGGGGATACATATCTAAGAAGTGACTCTGATGGGGACCATGATGTAAAGGGAGGGGTTCTAATGGGTACCCTGATGTAAGGAAGGCTTTGAAAGGGCACTGATGTAAGAAAGGACTCTGATGGGGACCATGATGTAAGGGGGGGTTCTAATGGGGACCCTGATGTAAGAAGGGATTCTGATGGAGACCATGATGTAAGGGGGGTTCTAATGGGGACCCTGATGTAAGAAGGGATTCTGATGGGGACCATGGTGTAAGGGGGGTTCCAATGGGGACCCTGATATAAGGGGGGCTTTGATGGGGACACTGATGTAAGAAGGGACTCTGATGGGGACCATGATGTAAGGAGGGGTTCTAATGGGGACCCTGATGTAAAGGGGGATTCTAATGGGGACCCTGATGTACGGGAAGCTTTGATGGGGACACTGATGTAAGAAAGGACTCTGATGGGGACCATGATGTAAGGGGGGTTCTAATGGGGACCCTGATGTAAAAGGGGGGGACACTGATGTAAGAAAGGACTCTGATGGGGACCATGATGTAAGGGGGGGTTCTAATGGAGACCCTGATGTAAGAAGGGATTCTGATGGGGACCATGATGTAAGGGGGGGTTCTAATGGGACCCTGATGTAAGAAGGGATTCTGATGGGGACCATGATGTAAAGGGGGGTTTCTAATGGGGACCCTGATGGGGACAATGGGGACCCTGATGTAAAGGGGGCTTTGATGGGGACATTGATGTAAAGGGGGGGCTTTGATGGGGACACTGATGTAGGGGGGCTTTAATGGGGACACTGACGTAAAGGGGGCTTTGGGGGACACTGGGGACTCTGATGGGGACCATGATGTAAGGATGGGTTCTAATGGGGACCCTGATCTTTAATGGGGACACTGATGTAAGAAAGGACTCTGGGGGACCATGATGTAAGGATGGGTTCTAATGGGGACCCTGATGTAAGGGGGGCTTTAATGGGGACACTGATGTAAGAAAGGACTATGATGGGGACCATGATGTTAGGGGGGGTTATAATGGGGACCCTGATGTAAGGGGGGCTTTGATGGGGATACTTATCTAAGAAGTGACTCTGATGGGGACCCTGATGTAAAGGGAGGAGTTCTAATGGGGACCCTGATGTAAGAAGGGATTCTGATGGAGACCATGATGTAAGGGGGGTTCTAATGGGGACCCTGATGTAAGAAGGGATTCTGATGGGGACCATGGTGTAAGGGGGGTTCCAATGGGGACCCTGATATAAGGGGGACTTTGATGGGGACACTGATGTAAGAAGGGACTCTGATGGGGACCATGATGTAAGGAGGGGGTTCTAATGGGGACCCTGATGTAAAGGGGGATTCTAATGGGGACCCTGATGTAAGGGAGGCTTTGATGGGGACACTGATGTAAGAAAGGACTCTGATGGGGACCATGATGTAAGGGGGGGTTCTAATGGGGACCCTGATGTAAAGGGGGATTCTAATGGGGGCCCTGATGTAAGGGAGGCTTTGATGGGGACACTGATGTAAGAAAGGACTCTGATGGGGACCATGATGTAAGGGGGGGTTCTAATGGGGACCCTGATGTAAGAAGGGATTCTGATTGGGACCATGATGTAAGGGGGGGTTCTAATGGGGACCCTGATGTAAGAAGGGGTTCTAATAGGGACCCTGATGTAAGGGGGGGTTCTAATGGGGACCCTGATATAAGGGGGGCTTTGATGGGGACACTGATGTAAGAAGGGACTCTGATGGGGACCATGATGTAAGGGGGGGTTCTAATGGGGACTCTGATGTAAGAAAGGACTCTGATGGGGACCATGATGTAAGGGGGGATTATAATGGGGACCCTGATATAAGGGGGGCTTTGATGGGGACACTGATGTAAGAAGGGACTCTGATGGGGGCCATGATGTAAAAAGGGACTCTGATGGAGACCATGATGTAAAGGGGGGGTTCTAATTGGGACCCTGATGTAAGGGGGATACTGATGTAAGTGGGGACTCTGATGGCCTCCCCTGCAGGAGCACCTTGGATCGTGCTTTGCTGGGTTTTTGCCTTCCTCTGGATCCATGGTGGGTGGAGGATTATTACTTTTTTTTTTTTAATGGTTGAACTGGATGGACTTTTGTCTTTTTTCAGCCAGACTAACTATGGAACTATTTACTAAGCCTGGAGTTCAGCTTTTCAGTGTTTTGTGATCTTGTAATAAAGATTTTCTATAAATAATAACAAGAAATCAGTTTCCTTTCAATCGGAGTCATAAAATCTGGAACTGTTGTGGTTAAATACGGGAATAAAAAACAAGACCCAGAAAGTGTATAATTCAATGTTATGCGGCAGGACAGCTGAGGATTGGGCGAGCGCCCGGCCGCGATCCAAACGGGAGAAACGCTCAGCTGATCACCACGAATACATGTTTATTACTCTGTATACAGCAGATGTAACGCCAAATCGCATCATCTCACCATACCAACCTCAATGTCACTAATAACCTCAAAAGTAACTTACATCTGCAGCTTTCATTAAAAAAAATCCCCGGTGATCCTGCCATGAAGGCACTTCCTGCCATAGAGTGACAACGCTCTGCCCCTCTCTCCAATTGTACCCCTGCGTTGTCACCCTGCCGCACAATGTTTGGCTGGCCATACACTATACAATTTTCTTTTGGTTTAGATTTACCAAAAACCA